TTATATTTGTAAAATAAGTGCTGTTTAACAGCTTTTCCTATACCTGCTTGAGGCTTTTACACAGTACTGTGTGCAGAGAACCATTTCTGCTTGATTGTACTGCTTAAGTGGGGCCTCCCTGCTCATAGACAAGTCCTCACAACACGACCCTGCTGTGTTTCTCTCCCTGCAATGAGCGGGACTGATGAGTTGGCCCATTATTTCTCAGTGCATGTCTCGCTGCTCCACAGAGACAACTCCACACCGAGCAGGTGTATCTCTGCTGCTTCCCTCTCCCCGGTTAGATAGGATGCTGAGAAAGGGCTACAATTGTGTTGCAAGTGTCCATATTATAAACATAATTAGTTTCCTTTTTAAACTGTTTATTTTCTGTGAACTTGTTAAGTTTTTGTGAACTTATTTTACATTTTATAATGGACCTTGCATCATCCTATCAAAGTTTTGTGTTTGACCTTCATAATTTCATGTTTCGCAATTTCAATTAAAGATTTTTGAGATTATTATACTTGGCTAAAATTATAATTTTACCATAAAAATTGACTGTGAAAGCAAACTTCCCTCTTTGAGAAGAGAGCCTTTTTACCATTGAGAAGAAGCCAGGCAGCAATGATTTAAAAACTCATAATTTCACATTAAAAGTCCAAATGAGCCCTGGTGTTATGATAAATTACTTATTAATGGGACTTTTCGGACTTTTGAATTTTTATACTCGCGATTGCCCCCTCAGGCCAAAAGCGTAACGGCAGCTTCAATAGTAGGCTCGTGCACGAGGCGCGCATTTTGTATGTGCACACTCCTTAACGAAAATAACAGCTGAGACAGTCCCGTGTGTGTGTGTGTGGCCTGGAGGACAGAAAAACACAGCAAATTAATAAAAATAATGTGCCTCTGTCTCTGCAGCTGCACTTTCTCGTCGGCCCGCCGAGCGTGCAGTGTGTGTGTGTGTGGCCCAGAGGACAGGAGAACACGCAGCTAATTAATTAAATAATTTGGTTCTATACCTTTCTCTTCAGCATAGCCGACAAAGGTTTATGATGGGTCAGTCCTCCTGCATGCTCAGATCATTCCCTTCCCTTGCTTGAAAAATCGTTCCAAAATGAAAGTTGAACCCACATCTTTTTTATTCGTGAATTCAATGCCTTTTGGCATGTCTCAAATAAAAATTTGGGTGTCTTATTACTGTAAAAAAATTTATCATTAATATAAAAAAGAAACTCCAAATAACAAACTATGTTCACACCTGGAATCGAACCCAGGTCTTCTGCAAGAGAGTCAGACATCTTACTAGGTGAGCTAAGGCGCCAGTAACGTTCATTGTATCTGTAACATATCCTCGATGACAGCTTAAACGACGTCAAACCAAAGAACGGTTCAGAGCGAAAATGGCTATTTTGTTGCTAATTTGCAGGAAATATCTAGAAGAAAGTTCTACAGAAAGTAGCTAAGGGTCCTCAGAAATGTAGCTAAGTTTGTCACTAGGCGTTAGGAACAGCGACAAAGTCGCTGAGTTAACACTGCCTCTCTCTCTGCTGCTAAAGCTACGGATAGCAAATGCTAAGGGCTATGCCTGAGCGTGAAATCCTCATTGGGTAACTGACTGCCTTCACGCTCTGTGATTGGCCAGTCACATGGAGCGCCCGCCCCTCCCGACACACTAAACTCTGCAGCCGGAAGCTCAGTCCGGCCCATGCATCCACACACACACACACACAGACAGTAACAGATCTCCTCTCTGTGCTTGCTTCACTGTTGCTCACATTTCTTCAGTGCTCCCTAGTTTTTCTTCAGCTCGCCTCTTTTTCGGTTGATATTTAAAGTTTCTTTTTTGTAACGTACGTGGTGCATTTGACAGAGCTGAAAACGGCTCGTGCATGCGTCTGTCACTGCCTCCGCTCCGGTCGGGTTTTTAAAAATTATTTTAACTTTCTCTCTCTCTCTCTCTCTCTCTCTCTCTCTCTCTCTCTCTCTCTCTCTTTCTCTCTCTCGCTCTTTCTCTCTCTCTCTTTCTCTCTCTCTCTCTCTCTTTCTCTTTCTCTCTCTTTCTCTCTCTTTCTCTCTTTCTCTCTCTCTCTCTCTCTCTCACACACACACACACACACACACACACACACACACACACACACACACACACACACACACACACACACACCTTAATCAACATTGTTTTGTTTAACTGTGTGGGAAAAAATGCCAACATTACGAAAAAATCAGTTTAATCAAATTAAAATAAAAAAATGTTGTTTGGTTTTCGTTTTCATATTTCCTAGTTCCTACTGCATGAGTTAAGATGCATTAATTCATTAATGCACTTAAATATTAATGTTCTGATTTTATTGAAAAACTTGTTCTGTAATAGTTCCTTTACTAATGTGATCAAAAATATTTAATCTCAATTCTGAGGCTGCTCTGTAAATAGTTTTCAAGTAAACAATACACATAGCAACTTCTGATCAATCCATATCAATTTCAGATTTAAAATAATGTATTGATGTAAACCACACCCACTAATTTCCAAATAATAAGAGGTGCGTTCATCTGTGTATCTCCGTTGATCCGCATTAGTGATGTTTTCAGCACCAGAACAATGAAGCAAAGAAACAGATTCCTGAGTTTATGTTAGTAATTGTACTTATTTGGTGCATCTGATCTGTTCTATTCTATTTTTCTCTGAAATGAGATCAAATCCATGCTTCTATGGGTTGTCTCCTCTCTGCACTAGAAAATTTTACTTTATTATAATGTTCACTGTAATGCATCTTGATGTTCTTAACAATAAATTAAATCAAAGATATTGGTCAGTAATGCCAAATACGTAAATTTGTGTTTGTCATTTTTATACTGGCTTAAAAATACTTCATTAAGTCTACTAAGCAGGGGTGTAGAACATGTTTAATAGGGCCAGCCCAGTAATGGTCTTGGACCAAAATACAGGGGGCAGAAAGTCAAATAAAGGGGGGCAAAAGGAGATGTTTTTCCAGACACCAAGAAAAATTAAATGCCAAACCCCCCTGCAAAGTGTGTCACTGAGAGCTTAAAACAAAAATTATTGTGCAAATATTGGTGTATTCACCTTTAATACTAGTTATTAAAATGCAGCAGTTGCTGGATTGGTGCAGGTCAAAGTGGAGTGCATCAAAAAAACAATATTAACATAAAGGTGAGACGTGTCATAATCCCCCCCCCCCCAAGCTGGGAATATTCCTAGGAGGAAACGCTGTTTAGATTAGCCATGCTCAAGAAAAATTTGGTTTTTATAGTGGGCAGAATCTAATTTCAAATATCTGTTTTCAGCATCATAGACATAGAAGAGAAAACTGTGGAAATTGGGTTTTGACTCATAAAAGATAAAGCTACAGAGCAACCACAGAGGCACACTTTTGAGTACCCCCGACATGCCCTTTAGTGGTAGTGGGAGGTTGAACGCCTCAGGGGAGAATTTTTTCTGTGACAGATGTCTAACTGATGTGTACTAACAATTTATTAACACATTCAACTGTAACGTGTGTACCAGCTGTTCAGAGATGGCTTCAGTTAGCAGGTCTGGATGGTAGGATGTTTAAGAGGAAATGACTCCACACCCTAAGCCAAACTAAAATGGGTGAGAAACCACACCTAAAGCTTTCTGATCAGACAACTGCTTCCAGCTTTCATCAGCTCCAGTCTATCAGACACGTGTACACATAAATGATTTCACTGTGTTCAATATTAACTGCTGCATTTTTAAAAATGAGCAAAGTTAAGGTTTAATGCCAGAAATGCACCTAAAGGTTGATGGTATGGCATTCACAGTTGTACTAGTGGGTTTATTTACATTTTACAAAAGGTATCCAAAAATAGGTGGCTCCCTGCCATTTTCTGTACATTTTAAAATATTCTCATGCCCACATGAGGATAATGTATATAAAATAATTAAAATTTCATTTGGCCAATAATCCTGACAGGAATCAGCATTTGTGAGCAAATAAGATTACATATAATTTACAGATGAAGATTTGTAAAACATATAATGAAACCAACTGTAGGAAATGAATTGTTTCTGTTTTGCTTTTTCATTTTAAGCTTTTCTTGCTTTAGATTTTCAAACGTGATACTTTTAAGAGCTAGAAGAATTTTTAATTTTAAGGACAGGGTCCTCTTAGGAAGAGACTGGTCAGAGATGGAGTTGTTTCTGGCAAAACAACAATAGAATATTTAGAGTCAGTTGCCATGCATTGCAGCTGATTCTGATTTGTGTTGATGTCTTTCTTCTGGCAGCTTGTTGCAATTAAGAGATCTTGTTAAAGGTTTTGGCCGACTACGAGTGTTACTATATATTTTTGTTTGAAGCTGGTAACGTAATTCCTGTGCGTTTGTGTCCTAAAGACCCGATGTTTCCTTCCCTCTTGTCTGTCTTCACTCAGCCTTCTTTTCTTCTCTCAGCAATGATGTCATTATATTAGCATATCACTTCCTTTCTTTTTTTGTGTGTTTGCCGCGTGTTCTTTTCTTATCCCATGGACCTTCCTCATTACAGCATTGAGCTCCTGCCTTCAAGCCATGCTGCATTTCTGACAGGTGCAAGTGACAGAGTGCATGAGTTAGTTATATTTGGACAAAAGGCACACACACAGTCTGATTTTAATTCCTGAATTCAGGTCAGTAGGAGGGAGGCTTTTTTCATGATTGGGAACACTTAGTCTCTGTGTAAGCTGAGAGTTATTTGTTCAAGACCCCAAAGCCTGCTTTATTGGTTTAAAGTTCTGATCCCTATCTGATACCAAAAGATGTGAGCTGGGATGGAAGTAAAATAGATTTCTGAAACTGTGATCAGAAATCCCATTTCAGCAGAGGCTGCTTCCTTTTTTTGTCATGTTAAAATAAAAAAAACGTATTCTAGAACAGTGGTTTACCATTATCAGCTGGGTTCCTTTTTACATTTTTCCTTTTATAACATTTAAAGTTATGATATTATCCGGTTTGCTAACAAGTATGGTGATTTTTTGTGTGTGTGTGTTTGGCAGGTGCGTGGGGCAGTCAGGTGTTGGTGCCTCAGAGGGTGAGTGCTGTGCTGGGGAAGAATGTGACTTTAGAGTGCAGGGTGGAGGTTGGGTCGAACCTCACCCTCACTCAGAGTTCCTGGGAGCGCCGTCTTCCTTCAGGCTCGGCCGCAGTGGCAGTGTATAACCCAGAGTTTGGCACTTTCATCCCTCCAGAGTACATCAATCGCTTGTACTTTCGCTCACCCTCCTCTCATGATGCCACAATTGTTCTGGAAAATGTGGGCTTTTCAGACGTGGGGATCTACACATGTAAGGTAGCTACGTTTCCTCTGGGAAACACTCAAGCCTCCACTACTGTCAGTGTACTTGGTGAGTATGTTTAGATCCCTTTTTGTGCAACAAAGTCACTTTGATTCAATTTTTTTTAAACATACATCAGTTGTGAATACTTACTAACCTGGTAAGCCATAAATTATGATGAATAGTTTCTATTTTGCCACGTCTAAACTGCACAGTTGATGCCAAAGCTGTTATAAACTAGCGCAGTTCCTGAGCCGCCACCGTCTTGTAATTGTTCTCCATCAAAACTTTGGTGTTATCAAAAAAATAAAGCTTTGCCATAATTAGGGATGTGTATTGATGAAATTCTGGCAATACGATACATATCACGGTACAGGGGAGATGATACGATGTATCACGTTATATTGCAATGCATTAAGTCAGACATTAGAGGTGTGAATCTTCACTTGTCTTTCGATTCGATTACGATTAAATATTTAAGAAGATTTAACAAAGTAAAACAGTCTGTTTCCTCATCCAACAGTGTAAAGAATGGGCCGTTTACATCTTACTTATGAACCATAAAATGTGAGATTCCATAGAAATATGAAATATCAATCTGATGGATCTTTGACTATTTTAACCAGAAGATCGGAACTTTTTATTGCAGGGATTAAGCGACACTTTGTATTAACTCCAAGGAAAGAGAGAGAGTCAGGTTTAAAATGGTTAAGAAATTTATTTCTACACAATTTAAACAAGACTAACTTTAACACTCTCTGTACTGATGGAACCAAGGTGGAGTGAGACGTGTTGAATGATGATGGTGTGTGTGTGGAATGTTATTCAGAACCAGCGGATCCGGAGAAGCAGTTCTGAGTGGGAGTGAATGTTTCCCTCTAAACTTTAGTAGGAGATTTATAACACACATGAAACGCCATCTGTCGGTCTACATACCCCAGGGGAAGCCTCCGTTAGATCCAGAATGCCAAGGTCCTCTCGGAACCTCCTTGGTACCAAAGCCGATAGAAAAGCAGCGGTGCTGACCAAACTAGTCTTGGAATGATTCCAGGTCACGACAGGTTATCGCTGGCGTCTCAGAGACCCCGAAGGAGTCCTGAGGTTCAGCTTTTATTCTGAAGGAACCGTTGCGGTCAGGTGTACTTGCAACAGATTTTATCCAGCTTGTCTGAGGTTCTTTACGGCTGAAGAGGAAGTCCGGATGGCCTGTCCGAGACTTCTCTAGAACGCTTTGAACTCAGGAAAAGGTGGCGTGGGATAGTTTTTATAATTGTCATATTTTGGTTTAATGGCAAATCAGAATTTGACATGCAAAAGAGGGTTTATACAAACGCCACAGAAAACCACGCCTAGCCAGAAACGAAGGTTCTGATTGGGTCAGACAAAAGGAAATGTGTCGGGTGACTTTAGCATTACGTGTCATTAGTGTCTAGTGCAAATGTCCAAGATTATAATAACTTGTAAAATACTACTGATCACAGGATTATAATATCAAGTATCAACATTGTCTTTCACAGATTGATTAAACATTGGGCTCACATTATTATTGGTAAATAACAAAGTTGTTGATTATGTATTTATCAAAATAGTTTGTCTTCGTCTTGGTAGCAAAGGTGAAGCAGTTCAGATGAGCAGAGTGCATGAAAGACCTTGGCCACTATCTCATGTAGATTAGCCTGTCAGAGACTTTATGAATGTAAATCAGTGAAGTTAGTAATCAACCTATATGTGAATGTACCCCATAAGGAATTAAGATGAGTGAAAATAAAAACAAATTTGGATAACACAACAGTATGTGGAATAAACCCTTTTACTGTTAAAACTTACTCATTACCTGACTTCAAGAACCCACAGCATGACCATCTCAAATCACCTTAGTCGGCACGTCATGTATAAACCGGAAGGACAACCATGCACACACACACACAAACAAACAAACTTGTGTAACCTGAAACAGGAGACCATGGGATTGACGACGGAAAATAGAGCTCACCCCCCTTTTGAAGGTGAAAACCTAGCCGGGAACACAGGAGGTACCGGCGGAGGTACAGGTGCAGGAGCGACCGGCACAGGTTGCGGTATCTGGACAGCCAGGGCGTCGTGGACAACCAGCACAGGACACGAGATAGGCGGCCACCGACGTTGCGGACCGAATCTCATAGAGGGGTCACCCGTGCGGAGAAGTGACGGAACAGGAAAAATGACAACCCCAACGACAGACAAAGGTTTAAGCATGCAGTGAATAACACGACAGAATCAGCGGAGGACCAGAAGTAAGACACTGGTTGAAACGTGAGACCAGGATCTGCCGACAACTCACGCAGCACCCTGTTTACCGCACCAACCCGAACCATGGTTGGACCACTGAACGTAACACGATCCACCTCAGGCTGAGAAAAACATGCTTTGCAAAAGCTCAAAATCTAAAAAAGTACTGAAAACCTATAGGACACATAATGTAATAATAAAATACATAATGGGTTCATATATGAGTGTTTAATGTCTCTGAGCAGCTCTAGAGTCAAATATTTATGCCACAGTTCAAGGGTGTCAGAAAAAACACCAAATGAAATGGTTGACTTAGTTTGTTATTTTATTTGAACCCAGTGGTTCATTTCTGAAGTGTTGGACAGTGAATCAAGTTCTGTTTGATGCAGAAAACAATAAAACATAAAACAAACTTCCAATAATATTTAAGATGTGTGTTTTATTCTTTCTGATAATAACACCAGCAGAAGTCTGTGGGCTGGATTAGATTACTGGTCTGGCTGATTCGGTTCTGGTTCGGTCTCGGGTAACAACTCTAGCACTCAGCGCTGCAGTACCACATTAAGGCGGAACCACTTGGTAAATGTGGAGGACACTCACTTTGACAGATTTGGATGCTGCGCTGGTGCTGCCGTAAAAAAAAAACTACATTCCACTATAATCGATTATGGTGTACTCTTTACGATGCAGAATCGTTTATGTCTGCATACCAATGCATCGATTATTTGATTATTTTCCTCAGCTCTATCAGACAATGTTAGTGATTTTTTTAGACTCAATTTATTGTAGAAATTTCAATAAACGGTCCAAACTGATACGTAACATTTTTAACATATTTACATTTTATCGGTGGAAACAAAACCCATCGCACACTTCTGTCAACTAGAGGTTGGCGTTTGAATTGCACCAAAAGAAAAGAAAATACACAAATGTTCGCATGTAAATTCTTCCAAAAGTTCAATACATGGCTTTTGAATATCAATATAATATCACAGGAAAAAATGTCACGATGTATTGCCATATTGATATTTTCTTACATCCCTAGCCGTAATGGTGCCAAGTCAATCCAACGTCGCTCCACAAGCATGTGATTGGCTTGGCCTAAACCTACTCAAGTCAGTGGTAGACCTGCTGAGACTACATTGGAGCATGGCGAGAGCGACCTGCAGAGCTAATCTCTTTTTCCCATGCTACGGTTTGTCTAGATTTCTAGAATAAATACCAGTTTACAAGTGCCTTTGTTGTTGTATTTTTTTTTTTTAATAATAAAATTTTTCGTTTTGTTAGGGCTGAAATTACATCTGGGGGACATCAATGAACAAACATTCAAACAACTTGGCCCTACTTAAAGAGTTTTTGTTCAGATTTTTGCATACATTTCAAATATCTTGGCAGTAATAAAAAATGGTCTATGGATAAGTTTGCTTGTTATTTAAAGGGGCATTATGGAAGTTTGACAGCCAAAACATGTATAGAAATAATGAATTTCTTCTTCATACATTCTCTTGCAATGCCCTGGTCCTGTAGAATGAGCCCTGGCATTTTTACTGTGATTGCCTGTTTTTCTGTAAAATCACAGAAAAAGAAAGCTGCTCGGGTCGAGCAGGCTGCTTCATGAGCGTTCACGCTCAGGCATCGCCCGTAGCATTTGCTATCCATAGCTTTAGCAGCAGAGAGTGAGGTAGTGCCAACTCAGCGACTTTGTCCCTGTTCCTAACACCTAGTGATGAACCTCGCTACATTTCTGAGGACCCTTAGCTACTTTTTCTAGATATTTCCTGCAAATTAGCAGCAAAATAGCCATTTTTGCCCCGAACTGTTCTTTGGTTTGACGTTGTTTCAGCTGTCCTCAACGATATAAATATTACAGATACGGAAGATATGACTTTTGGGATAGCTCACCTAGTAAGACGGCGGACTCTCGTGCGGAAGACCTGGGTTCGATTCTTGAAGTGAACATAGTTTATTTAGAGTTTCTTTTTTACATTAATGGTATTTTTTTTACAGTAAGATGCCCAAATTTTTATTTGAGACTCGCTGGACGACATTGAATTCACAGATAAAAAAGATGTGGGTTCAACTTTCATTTTGGAACAGTTTTTCAAGCAAGGGGAGGGCATGATCTGAGCATGCAGGGAGACTGACCCATCTTAAACCTTTGTCCGCTGTGCTGAAGAGAAAAGGTACAGAACCTAATTATTTAATTAGCTGCGCGTTCTCCTGTCCTCTGTCCTCCGGGCCACACACACAAACACACACAGGACTGTCTCAGCTGTTATTTTCGTTAAGGAGTGTGCACGTACAGCATGCGCGCCTCGTGCACGAGCCTACTATTGAAGCTGCCATTACGCTTTTGGCCTGAGGGGGCAATCGCAAGCATAAAAATTCAAAACTCCATAAAGTCCCTTTAAGGAGGGTCAGGACTTTAGGACATTTTTTCTTTTTTTGTCATGTTCCTGGTCTATTCTCAAATGCTGTGTGGAGCAGTGACGTGCGGTGAGGTTCATGACTGGGGAGGCACTGACTGCTCTGGAGTCAGAATTGCAAAGATATGATCCTGAAATAAAAGCTTGTATTTAATTTTTGACCTTGAAAGAAAAATTTACTTTTAAAATATTCTTTGTTATAATTTAATCAACTTCATACTATTCAGCAAAATACACAAAGAAAAGTAAAATAATATTTAATATTAGGGCAAAATTGACTTTAAATTATGTAAATTATTTATGGAATAGCTCTGACATGAAAATTGTGTATTATCATACCTTTGTGTTTAGGAAGTCCAGGAACCTGACATCTCCATTATCACTCAGCTGTAAAAATCATCCTCTGTTATCGTCTGTTCTGACTGAAAATCCAGTTAAAATAAATCTTTCAGTTTTGAGCCATAAATCTTCCGTTTAGTCACCAAATTTAGACTAGTTCACCCTTACAGACCTGTCGGCTCCACACCCACCCTGAGTGTATACAAGCAAGCAGTTTGCACTGGTGTCTATGGGGCTCAGCACTGCCCCTATCAGTGAGGCAGGGTACTTTGGGGATTTAAAGCAGACAGCAGTGAACTGTCCCATCCCGCAGCGCTCCTTTGTGAGAACGGGGGGGTTGGGCCGGGGAGTTTGCGAGCTCCATCCCGCACCGCTCCTCCGTGAGAGTGGGGGTGGCACATGTTCCGCTGCTGTTTCTCACCAGTATCAGCTGATGGAGGGCTCTAGTTTCGTTGCGCCGTTCGCGTCAGCGGACACGGTAGGGTCAGGGAGGGGGCGGGGCATGATGCTTAGCCTGACGGGCCGCCAGGCTTATAAAGCCCTGGGGGAAACCCCTGATTGGAACACATCTTGGCGGCTCCTGATGACATATCTCCTAGGCAACCGGGGCGGGGCCAAGACATCAAGGCGAGGTTCCTTGGCATTGAGAAACACCCATAGTCTCTCCAGCATGTCCTGGGTCTTACTTTAGGCCTTCTCCCGGTTGGACATGCCCAGAAAACTTCACCAGGGAGGCGTTCAGGAGGCGTCCTTACCAGATCCCCGAGCCGCCTTAACTGGCTCCTCTGGATGTGGAGGAGCATGACCAAGCTTCTCACCCTATCTCTAAGGGGGAGCCCAGCCACCCTGCGGAGAAAACTCATTTCGGCCGCCAGGTCTGACCAGCATCCTCCCCCATCATTGAAGCCAACTCACCACCAGGTGGTGGTCATTTGACAGCTCCGCCCTTTTCTTCGCCCAAGTGTCCAAGACATGCGGCCGCAGATGAGATGAAAACAAAGTCGATAATCGAGCTGCGGCCTAAGGTATCCTGGTGCCAATAACGCACATATGGACACCTTTATGTCTGAACATTGTGTTCATTATGGACAATCCATGACAAGCACAGGAGTCCAATAACAAAACACCACTCGAATTCAGATCAGGGGGCCGTTCCTCCCCACCACACCTCTCCAGGTCTCACTGTTGTTGCCCACATGAGCCTTACAGTCCCCCAGCAGATCTGTGCCTGGATCAGTTAGTAGGGGTGTAACGGTTCACGGGGGTTATTCGAACCGTTCGGGCAGTTCAGTTCGGTCCACTTGCGTACCGTTTCGGTTTATTTGTTCCATTAAATAATGAATTTTTCACACATTTGCATGATTTAAGTGCAGCAGATAAAAGTTCTTTGGCGATTTTCCACACGGACGATGTATTGAGTGTAGGGCTGCAGCTATCGAATATTTTTGAAACTTGTTTATTTAATGAGTGGTTGAATAGAATAACTTGAATGATTGTAAAACCTCCAAAACTTATTAGCATTCTTTTTCTTTATTGAACACAGTGGAGCCGAAGATCTACATGTCTGCTGGTTCGACTGCCCTGATCGATGGTGGCAATGAAACAGTGGTGGCCACCTGTATTGCAGAGCGAGCTAGACCTCCCGCTGAGGTGTCATGGGAGTCCAACATCTTCGGCCAGTCCGAGGTTCATCTGTTTGATGACGTTAACGGCACGACCAGCACACAGGTCCGCTACATCTGGCAGCCCACACGTCACGTCCAGGGCCAAGCTCTTACCTGTGTGGTCCGACACCCGGCTCTGCAGAACGACTTTAGGATCCCCTACCAGCTCAATGTGAAGTGTAGGTGCAGTACGAGTGTCTGTGTTGATGAGCTGTGTTAGACCTGAAGGGAACTTTTGAGTACAATTGCCCAAATTCTAAAATACTTGAAATAGAGACAATTGTTTTTGTATTTTTAGCCCAGAGCTTCCACCAGGATTACATTATAAACATTTACTTAGATACTTCACAATGTCACAAGATTTTACTTAAGAATTCAACTTTTGTGTGTCTAAATATTTAGTAATTTTAATCCATTTGCTTGTTTCGCTTTTCTTTCTGCAGTTGCTCCTGATATTTCTGTTGTGGGATATGATGGAGACTGGTATGCGGGTCGTGAAAATGTTCAGATGGCATGCAAAGCCAACGCAAACCCACCAGCTCACTACTTCAGATGGATCAGGTGTGTTCTCTGTGCGTTTTGGAGCTGAAACATTTGGGCAAAGAATGTGGAAGTGAGCCAATTACAGCAAACTCTTTAAGTAAAGCAGTGTTTCATTTTTAATTGTCCTATGTGCCCTGACATTTGCTGTAAAAAATAAATGGACTGGAACATAAAACTTTAAATGCTTGTAAAGCAAACTGAAATGTCACAAAACTGTCCAGGAAGAGCTGCAGTGATGAACAGGAGTGCATCAGCCAGCAGCTTTCAGAGAGAGGAATCAGCTGATCTGTCTGCAGAAGACCTTCAGAACATTCAGTAAAGGAGAATATATCACACTACCTTACAGGATTTGTTTATTTGATTTCATCAAACACAACAGTTCTAACCTTGGGGTAAAATTTGCCTTATGTATTTATCCTTTTAATTCAAAAAGATTTTCTGTGGTAGCATCAGAAAAGATCATTTCTTAGTATTGCATCAGGTTGATGGAATTTCTACTATCTTGGCAACTCTACATTTAACAAACACACATTCACACCTCATCAGTTGAAGGCGAACCAACAATAAATTTGCTTGTGCAGGTTTTTAGGAAAGTGTTATTGTGTGTTATATTACTGTATAAACAATTGATTGCAGTGCTTTTTCTTATTCATTTAAACTTTGGCTTCCTTTTCACCCCCCCGGGTCCACACTGGGGCATCAGTAACACGCTATGGTTTTTCGAGGCGCATCAGTCGCTTCATTCGTCATTTAAACAAAAAGAAGAAAAAGGAGATCACGTCCATGAAGAAAAACACACCGTTGCGCATCTCGAAAGATACTGGTAGTAAGTAAGCCACAAGGTCACATGTATAGATGTTATCTACTATTGGATTTGTGCAATAGACTTTTATTTAGAAAATTACTAGACGTTTTACACTGATACTGCATGTGATTTCCCGTCTAGCACTATGTTAATTGTGGAAAATTGGTGTAAAGTGAAAAGCTGTTTACAGCATAAAGTTATAAATCCAGAGGGGTGAATTTAGGCAAAGTCAGCAGCATGTTTACATCGGTGAACAGCTGCAGAGAGAATGTAAGCTAACGTTGGTAAGCTAGTTAACATACCGCTCTCTATGAGGCCTCTATGAGGCCCCGCTAGATGCGCTACTACTTCTGATAACTGAACTGGGCATGAACTAGTTGAAGGAATGCTGGAGGAGTTTTGTTTTTGTTTTGATCACAAAAACAATTTCAGGCTCTACTTTTCCCTTTGTTTAGTAATCGTGTCGCTCACTGTTTACATGCTTTTGCCATCCACCATGATGGACCCACGTGATTAGGTGACGTCGGTGCAAAGGGTCAATAATGGGTTCCGTTTGAAGCAACGACGTTCCTCTGCCGTTCTGCACCACTGATGCCCCCAGTGAAGACCCAGAGTTAGCTAACCTAAAATATGTGTGGTGGTTACTTAAAGTTGTTTCTGAATGTCCTCTCACTGTCTTCTGTGTGTCCCAGGTTGGACAGTGAAATGCCAGAGGGGGTGGAAGTCATAAACAGCACTTTGTTCTTCCTGCGTCCCCTCCAGCGGAACGACTCCGGTGTTTACAGGTGTGAGGTTGCCAATGACATCAACCTCCGCAGTCGGGATGTGCGCATCCTGATACAAGGTGAGCAGAGTTCATAGAGTGGAACACAGCTGACTCTGGTTTCTTTGCCATCTCGTAGGAAGTACAGTGCATGAGTGTACGTCATAGAGGGTATCACTGCCTATGACATTGTCCTTCAAGGTGAAACGTGACACTGAATCTCTCACCGGCTGTGCACACACTGACCGGTCTGTCAGGCAATCACCACTGTTACGGCGTGTTGGTGCTGATCGTAGTTGCATGCTGATTAGTGCTGATTAGCATAAGGTCTCCAGATGTTAAAACAGGAGCTTCCTGGGTCAAGCAGATGCCAGTATTTAGGTCCCGTTCCACCACAGCAGCCTGCCTCTGTTCTGAGTGTCTCGTCTCTCCGATGTGAATGATGAGCATGAAACCCTTCTTTGCCTGTGGAAACTATCTTCCTGAATGAAATGAATTTGAGATTATTATGGGATTTCCCCCCCCCCCCCCCTTTCACGTTCTTTGCCTTCTTTTTGTGTCTTTTTATTTCTGCATGTGTCACACAGTAAGAGGCAAAAGCCTGCAGCCTCACTGAGCGATGATGTCCCAGATTCATAAAACATTAACTAGTCCTTTTCAACTCCTATTTATTATTTATCATCCATATTTCATTTTCCTTTGAGAGGACCTGTGTGTGTGTGTGTGTGTGTATTTGTGTGTGTGTGCGTGTGTGTGCGCACAAGCTTACACATGTTGGTGTACTCTTTGTTGTATGTGTTGTTGTGGGTGTGCTCACATCAGTTCACTGCCGCTGCGTGTAGTTGTACAGTTTATGCACTTGAAGGCAACAAACCTCTGGGTTCATGTTTCAGATCTCTGAGTTGTGAATCATTGCCTCACATCTGGCCCTTAACTCAAGTTAAAGCGTCTGCGCCCGTTTGAGCCTTTCAGCTCCGATTTTTTTTTTCCGTTGCCGTAGCTGCTTATGATTACAGTCTTTGGGTTGTCTGTTTGAGGGTAAAACCACTAGCCTACTTTATCTTAGGGATGGTTTTTGCCTTGTGTTTTAAAAATATACACACAAATTACTTTTATAATGGCTGTAAAAGAAGTACTCCTTTTTTAGGTTTTGCAAAATAATGAATAAACCCTTAATAGACTTTACAGTTAAATTATCGTATTTCTCATCCGTTCTATCTCAGTTTGAACTTTTAAACTTTTAAATTTTTTGCGTCGCCATACCCCTCCAGCCTGATGCCTTTATCAAGCACATGGAGAAACCTAGCAAAGGAAAGTTTACACCCTTGCATATGAACACAGTGTGTTCAGCCATTCTTTTAGGGTAGTTTGTGTAAATACTTGTAGGGAAATCTTGGGACTTTGCACATAAAATGCAGTGCATTTTATTTTTTAATCTAGTCTAACCGAGCCTTTCCACTGGACGCATCCGCGAAGAGAATTGCATAGTAATTAGCCACTGTTAGAGTGGATGGGTGCGTTTCCACTGGCTGTGAAGCGTCGTGTTTTGGTTGCGCCCCCGAGGCGTAGGGACGCACTGCACAACTCCGCTCCGCTAAATGTATGCTTTGAGACTATTTTTTACGTGCTACGCTTCCAGAACATGTAGATCTCAGCAGTTCAGAATGAGCAAGACAGGAAGTGAAACACAAAAGCAGACATCTGGTAACTTTCTAAATAAGTCACGTGCAGATATCCATTGGCTTAACTGGGGATCGAGAACACAGAGCAGACGTACGCACGTGCACGCACGCACACACACACACACACGTATACAAAGTAATGTTTCTATGGTTACAATGTGATTTCTTAGTAAATATTCCATTTGTTGAGAGATAAACTTTATTTTATTTATCCTAGTGAATCTATAGTTAAACGGGTTAACTAGTAGTAGCACATTCAATGTCAAGGAAAGTAAAATGTTGTTATCAGGGAGAATGTTTAAATGGTTAGCAACTGTGTTCAAGCCGATGGCCCCCTCCATGAAGGCGCCACAGCTCAGCAGAACATCATTGTAGCTTCTTCTGGGGAGAAAAACACTTAAAGATAAAATAAAGTTAACAGCTCAAATTGCAGGAAATAATACAGTTAAGGAGCAGATTGTAGAAGAAAGCAGTAGTGTGGAAAGTGGTCCATATGTCCTCCAGCAGTCTAAGCCTATAGCAGCATAACTACAGAGATAACTCTGGATAACCTAGCCTTTTAGATGGAGGCATGTTGGAGGCAGGGCAAGGGAGAGCCGTCTTTACCGACTGTACACTCCACCTCCCTCTACTCCCCCACTTGTCCAGATCTAGGCTAACATCAGGTTTTAACCATAGGCTCTATCAAATAAAAACGTTTTAAACCTAGTGTTAAAAGTAGACAAGGTGTTTGCCTCACGGACTAAAGCTGGGAGTTGGTTCCACAAGAGAGGAGCCTGATAACTAAAAGATCTGCCTTCCATCCTATTTTTGGATATTCTGGGAACCACCAGTAAAGCTACAGTCTGAGAGCGAAGTGCTCGGTTAGGAACGTATGGAACAATCATTTAAAAAATTTAATGTACTTAATGTACTATAAATTACCACAGTAATGAAATATAAAAGATGGGAATGTAATAAAATGTATGTCCAAATGTTTTTTTATAAAACTGAATAATTGAAATTAATGGGCACTTAACAGGAGGAACTACAAACAAGAAACATTACACTAATCTAGACTATTCAGATGTCACTGTGTGATATGTAACAACACCCCAAACAGCAAAAATTTGTAATTGCAAACACCTGTAAAGGTTCCTGAACCTTTAAATGGTCTCTCAGTGTAGTAAATTTATTGTGTCTTTTTAGTAGCGTTTCTGTTGCTGGTAATCTAGTAATGGTTAAATAAATAAACAACAATCCTTTAAAATGACACTAGAAGAGGCACAAATCTGATGGAGGACTTAAATTTACTAACGTGGGTCAGACCCAAACACAGAAGAGCTGAAGTTGGATGGTAAAGACACACAGGTAGTTCTAATACCTGAGCACTCGTGACGTTTGAGACTGATGCAACCAGTGTTACAGCGGGACTAAAGAGATGATCAGAAACAGGTTACAGTTGGATGATCTAGGAAGGTAGAAGATTTTGACGTCTGAACAGGTGAGCGGACCTTCGGGACGTCCCGCTGTCACACCAAGAAGGGCACAGCTGCAGATCCACACCTGCAGCAGCAAATCTGCGGATCTGCAGCTGTGGACTATTCAATACGTCTTCCTCGTTCTTCACGGACCGTGATGACCTTGGATGTTAACATCCGCCTCTTTAGCTTCCAATCAGCTGATGACAGCTTAAACACACCGCGCTTCTAAATTAGTAATAGACACAGTTTCTTATCAGTATCAGAAATGGTGTTATGATAAAAGAAGACGTTAAATTATTAGATTACTTGTTACTGAAAAAACAAATTTTTTTAGTAATGCCGTTATTTTGAACAGCGTTGTTCCGATCACTGGATACGATACAGATATTGCAGCCATCAGTATTAACCAATAAGTTGTCAGCACAAGTCATACATACTTTTCCCTATTTTGTAGTGTTTCTTCTTTTTTTTCTTCTTCTCCTTCTCCTCCTCCTCCTCCTCCAATTTTTTTATTAACCATTGGTTGCATAAGTGTAAACCTTAAATAAAATATATAACAAATGAATAAAATAATAAAGTAAAACACAGATAAATATTTTAAGTAAATAAATAAACAAAACGATGAACACCAACGTTGCCGTTTCGCGTCTGAAATGCTCCCAGGAGGAAGTGAGCTTGCACGTAAAACGCGTCCATTACATTACGCATCCAGTGGAAAGTCGGGGTTGCTCCCATCCCAGAAAGAAAGGTAAATCTGTTTTGCATCAAAATTTGGATTTGTGGGAATAATTGCTGACACCTTTAAATTTATCTTCGCCAAAATAGATCTTTATTATTTACATAAGAAAGAAATGAAGAATGAAAGAAAACTCATTGCTACAGAGCTCACAAGGTGCTTTTGGGTCAAAAACAGGTCGTTGGTTCTTAGTTTAGAAAACCAAGTGAACAGATTTGCTAGAACACTATTATGTTTCAGCAAAAGGTCATTGTTTGGGTTGAGTGAACTTTAAAATAATTGATTAATTTGTAACTTAAGGATCTATAACTTAGAAATAAATCACATTGCAATCATAAATGTTAACTCCCCTCAGTGGTAAGGACAAGACCTCTTTATAATTAAATGATGCTCCAGGCTGGATTAGCTCCCTCATTAAGTAACTTGAGGATGAAATTCTCTAAGAATAAACAAATGAGCAAGTTTAGCTAATTATCTGTTGGGTTGGACGTTAACAGGAGACAAATGTCTGCTGAACAGTAGACGATGCTCCTCTGAACATTCATCTCTCTTCCTTCACTATGAAACTTTACACATAAGCATGGATGTTATTGAGATTCTGAGCAGAGGGTTTACTAAACCGCCCCATAAGAGGACACTGATTTACATTTTGACCTCTGAAGATGGTCTGGTCTGAGCATGTCAAACATCTGTGAGCATACACACCCTAGTTTAGTTTATGTTTATGTCTGCCTGTCCCTTCTTAGTAATGCTGATGTAGCTTTCATCTTTCTCTCCCTTTCACTCTCCACCCCCTCACCTTCCTCCCCTCCATTAGATCCTCCCACCATGCCTTCCACCATTACCGCTCCTGTCCTAACTGGCTCTTCCTCCTCCACCTTTGTGGTTGATAAGGCCCTTGTCCATCTGAGCGCCCCCACACTTGAAGCCCTGCCTGACAGTAATCTTGGTTCCATAGTGGGTGGGGCTGTGGGCGGGGCCTTGTTCCTGCTTCTGGTCTTGTCTCTGGTTGGCGTTTGTTACCTGTGGAAGCAGCAGACTTTTCACGGCAGCTACTACACCAAGCAGAACCTGGGTCTCACCGAGCTGCAGAAGGCACCTGCACAGCATGAAGTTTGTCCCACCAAAACGGGCAGCAGCTCCCATGTTCAGGATCATGACCGAGAGGAGTGGGGCGACCGCGAGCTCAAGAGGGAACGG